GGATAGGGGAGGGGGGGAGGGGGGGGGGGTGAGAGAAGAGCGCGAGTATGGTGTCGGAAACAGTCCGCCGTGGTAGGGTGAAAACACCGGGAGCGCAGACCGCCGGAAGGAAATTTTTCGCTGCGGTGCTATATATTTCAGTGGAACTGAGCGCCGCGCTAAGTGGCTGAGGAGAACCGCAGCAGCGGCGAGGATTGGAGAAGCTTGGTCGTAGTCAAAACGTCCTCGAAGAAATACACTACATTGCGCAAAAGCTACGTGCAATTACACTGTACACTAACCATGACGCAGGTGACGTCATATGGTGCCACGTGACATCACTGTCACGGCACGTCACGTGCCTTGTAAGGTCACTGTCACATAACGTCACATGTCATGTAACTTTATTGTGTTACGTGACGTAGCATTATACCTGGACGTTAAACGGAGAAATTTCCTCGCTAAATTTAGCGGATAATTCTACCGCTAATTATCCGCTAAATTTAGCGGATAATTAACGGCTGTCGCAGTAAAGATTATAGAAAAAATACTATAAAATTAGTCGTTTAACTTTTAGGCGGTAGGAAGGTGGTTTCTCTTTAAAGTATGGCAAAAAGAAATACAAATTTGCCCTTTTTGTTTGTACAACGTGAGGTTAGTTTGACTTTGAGGTGCACGGAGAAACCAGAATGTTGCAGATGAGAATTGTAGCCAGTGCAATAAGGACTGTTAGCTTGGAATCTTTAATTGTGATTCATGCGGTGGTGATGGCACAGACGCACGACAGTATTTCATGCTCAACCATATCGGAACAAGCTGGATATCATAGGGACTTTTAGGAAACCGTTACTGTGTTGCGCGTACCGCACTACTGGATCCTTTGAAGCCTGCTTTTAAGCACTCGATCCGCGATCACGGTACCACTCCGGGCGCGTGCTTAAAAGCTTGCTTTGAAGGATCCAGTAGTGCGGTACGTAGAAAAAGGTAACGGTTTGCTAAACGCCTCTATTGTCACCCCAATATGTCCGCTAAGATGAAGCTAATTTTGTTTTTTGCTTTTTTTTATATAATTCAGGATTGAAGCACCAAAGGGATCATTGCCTACGTAAAAGTATTCAAAATTTTCGATTACTATAAATGAATGGAACGAATTTTACCTCGGGATAAGAGGACGCAAGGGGTGCGTAATATTCTAATATTCCAAGAAATCCGACTCTAAGCTGTGAATGATCTATGCACATGACCTCTGGCCTTGACAAATGCTGATTGCCTCGGGAGAGAGACTTGTACAACAATTACTAATATAGAATTGAAGAGAGGAAATGAAAAGCACAATTAACCTTTCTGGCATGAGCGTTGCCAGAATCGGGATCTGGTGCAATGCATGAAAAAATATCATGTTACAAATACAAAATATCCTTGTGTAAAATATACCGCTGCTGACAAAAAACATGTTTTGTTTAAAAAAAAAAATGAAAAGCTACGACTGCTAGTTTTTTTAGTGGAGAGCTCAACATTTGCTGGGATGTTAAAGCAAGCAATAACTCCGAAAACGCACCAACCGTTCGGCGCATGCGTGAAGCCGGAATAACTACTTTAGTTCACAGTAGACGGGCGGCAGGGCGCGAGACGTCTCGTACCGTCTGGACTCTCGTGCATCGCTTGCGCAGATCTGCAGTCAAGTTGTTGCACCTGCAAAACAACTATCCTTCCTTACGCAGCCGATGGTACAAGCGCGAGCATATGTGGCCCTGAAGAGTGCCTGCATTGCACGAGCGCGCGTGCTTGGCTGGGACGCTGGCTGAATGCCCGGAGCTCGTGCTTGTAGCATCGGATCCGTCCGGATTTAAAGGGACCATGAAGGCAGTTTCGAAGTTTTATTCGACGATTGAAATGGATGTCAGGCATGTCTCAGATACCATTAACCAAGTTCTAGCCCGAACAGAAGTTTGGGTGCCGCACAAATCGAGCAAACAGGCGCGGTAATAATAGCGCCGGGGACGATGCCTGAGACCCCACCGAGGCGGCGGCAGAAAGGTGAACTAAAGTGCGCCGTCGAAGCGTGACGACAACGGGCTCCTCGTCTGGCGATTGGTTCAAACGATAGACGCGCTCTTGGTTTCGATTTGGTGGTGAGATGTGATGAAAAAAGTTTATTTGAACGGTTGGATAATATTTTGAGGTTGTAGTTGGGAATTAATAGGTTTCATACCGTGTATAGACGCTTTGCAGCAGCTGTGCATGGGCGCCGCCATAACTGACCTTCAGTTCCTGTTTCCCCTTATTACATTTACTCAGTGTTGTACGGAACGGCGTTCCAAGGAACGGCGTTCCTGGAACGCGTTCCTTTTAAGAGAAACGAAGGAACGCCGCCGTTCCATTTTGCATCGCTGGAACTGGAACGGGAACGCGTTACATTTTTACTGGAACGGAAAGAAGGAACGGCGTTCCTTTTTTTTTTTTTCGTCCAGTGGGTTATTTTAATTTGATTTCTAAGAAGGAAATTCTGAAAGTACAAAAACAATATTTTTACGAAGAGCAGGATCTCGTTAACTTTTTGCTTAGTTATCTTCGGGTTCGTCTTGTGTGGTCCCCGCTTGGTAACAGTTGGGTGCAGGAGAGCTAGGGGATATCGATTCTATTTTCAGTGCCCGCGAGACTGCGCTACAAAAAGAAAAACCTTTAGTCGAAGGAAAAGACACAGAAAGAGGGACGTTTCAAACTCAGCTAATTGTTTTGCTTCCACGAATCCTCACACACCCAGCAATCTAAGGCCGACTACTGCTATTACTGAACTTCCACAAAGAGAACAACAGATACATCAAAAGTACAAATAACCAGGCATCGAACATACCCCTGTATCCCGAGCAGTGGACACTTAAAAGTTACACAAAAATTTACCTTTATTAATTCTCTGCCTGTCCCCACCTTCAAACTGAACAACGAATCCAGCCTTCATGAAAAGGACTTGTAGTTTTCTATACTGACCTTCCAAAAGCCCTACCCTCTTCATCACTCGCTCGTCTTGCGGACAACATTGAGGATCAACGCTTGTTAAGTTCGAACAAGAGACTTTGTTATATTGAAACGTGTGAGGTTGTTGCAAAACGCTCGTGCAATGTATAGGGTGACAGTACATTTGGCTCGTCTGAGTCCCCCTCCACAAACATAAATATGGGTAAAAGCTTAGAATTTTAAAGGTGTATATCAACAAATCAAACCCTGCTTCCGCCTGTTTTCTCCTCCTGGTGCTCTTCCATCACGGCCTTCAAATTCTTATGTTTCCATTTGACGGAATAGATAAAAAAAAAAATATTTTCTAGATATAACTAAGTATGGTAATCAGCAAAATACAAATGTAACGTATATGTAACGATACGTTCCATTTCTTTAACTGTAACGGGAACGAGTTCCTTCTTCACGTATGGAACTTGTAACGGGAACGCGTTCCAAAAATCAGGAGGAACGAGGAACGAGCTTCCGTTCCTATTTTTGAGGAACGTGTACAACACTGCATTTACTTCACTTCACCGTTACCATAGCGGGGCAGGTTATTGCCATTTTAGTTTCTACAGTGTCCTTCTCCACAGCATTGGCCTTTCTGGAGGCTTGTCAACGCCCGCTTTAGTGGCTCGGCATCTGGGAAAGGCAAGAGAAGGTCAGCAATGGCGGCTGTAATTTGGCGCGTGTGTAAAGCGTCTATAAAAGCATAATCTGAAGCGATCCCTCCGTTTGTCACTGGTTGAACGCATCCCGCACTGCTACCTCGGGCGCGTAACAAGCATCGAGCAACCATGGACACAAAAAAAAAAGAGGTACGAGCGCCGGGGGCGGCGGTCTTTTCGTTTTGGTTTCGTGCGTCGTCTCGTGTTCGCTATGCGAACTGGTGTCTCGCCAATCATGCCGCGTTTATGTGCAGTAGTAGGTTGCGCGAAAGGTCGGCTAAAGACGTGCGGTCGATCGGGCGACGTTAGTTTGCATAAACTGCCGACCGCATTGCTGCATCGGTCGCCAATCCAGAGTTCTGTGTCCTTAGCAGCATCTCCCGTTCAGTCGGCGTGAGGTCGCTGAACGGGAGCTCAAACTCGTTTGCGAGCGCGGCGTTGTCGTCCATATCTTCCAGGTTTTCTTGACAGACCGCCGTGCACTAGAGCGAACCACGGGTAGCACACTGAGTATGCACTAAATCCTACCGATGCCGACAGTGCTCCCTGACGTCACTTCTCTTTCCAGAGGCGAGAAAGGGAAGAAATCGGAATGTTTGTTTCGGTTTCGCAAATTTATTTGCAGGTACAGAAATAAGAGTCACAACGTTCTAGAAAAAATTGTGTGGCATGCCAGGACCCCAATGCTTCCGAAAATACCTTCTTTTTTAAAGAAAATTAAATTGCCTTCATGGTCCCTTTAAAGGGACCTGAAACGATTAGAGACAAAGTTTTACTGACTGCATATCGTTTATGGGATCAAAATAAAACTTGCACGCGAGATTAGAAAGGTTATAGCATAACATTTTGGCAAATAAAAGCGGACAATAGCTTACCCTCTCTCCCTCAAATGCTCGCAACAGAGCTTAGAGTATCAATGGGTATAGATTAATAAATGAGTTCTTTGTCGTGTGCTAAACTGCTTCGCTGGTCATCCACCTTGCCAGATTAAAGGGGCCCTGCAATGCCTTTTTTACTATTTTTTAATTTGCACCAGTCCTGAGCGCACTGAACGTAGTAACTCGGGGAACTTTTTCTTTTCTCGAAATTCGCTTTATTTTAAAAGTTATAGGCAAATTAAAATTACAAGAAAAAAGCAAAAAAAAAAAAAAGCAAAAAATAACCTCCCTCTTACGTCTCTGGTCCTGTCTTTGTGGTTGGTCCTGGCCTGGCGTAGTGACTGGCCAATCGGCTACGGCTTACGTTAATGGCCGCTTCCCCTGCAACGCGTCAACGGCTCGTTGCTCGCTTCAGCCCTCCACCGCGCTTGCCGGCATGAATTTACCGGGTCTGTCGGAGTTGGAGGTCCGAATCCTCCACAGAAGTGCGGAACTGGGAGTAGTACCGTACGAGGACACTCCACGTAAGCGTCCGGAGCGCGCTGGCGAAGCTTCTCGGCCCCAACTCGACGAAGTTCCGGGCGTGCTTCCTACCGCCCCACTACCGGAGCCACCGCCACCTCGTCGAGTTGGAAGCACAGATTGGTGAGCGTTTTCGTTGTAGCTATTCCCATAATCACATTCCGCGCACAATCGGGGAGCTCGGCTTTTAACGACTGTTTTTTGCAATCAAACAGGTGCGACGTCGGCCGCTGCACTGCGATGCCGACACCTCGAGAGTGCTTCTGCTGCCGAGAATTGGCACCGGCCGTGCGGAAGCAACCGACGCGGTGCATCACGTTGGACGGAGACTTCTCGAAGCTATGCTTAGATGTTGCCGTTCTTGCGGTGGCATACTGCGAAGTCCGTGAGAGCGGTCGTGAGCTTCAACACCAGCTGCACGAGTGAGTAGGCGGGCATGAGAGTTGGCATGAGGCAACCTAGCCGAATTAGCCGTGGCGCAGACGTCACAGTACCCAAAACGAAAACCGTGATTATGTACTACATGTAAACATTTAGGGACTTGTGTGAGTGCGGTGACTCACGGAACCTTTTAGTATGGGTTCATGTTTTCGAAAGCCCAAACTTGCATGGTTTCCTTGTGTTCATAATTTTGAGCTTTATATTTGTTCTTCAATTTCTGCATCTTATTCGGTGAAAATTATGAATCATGCACGACTCCTTATTGCTCAAAGGTTTAGGCATTTACTGTCTTGCCAAAGATATCCCAAATTAAATCACTCCTTTTTTTTCTTTTTTTTTTGTCGTGTATATTTTGTTTGATTTTGCACAAAATTTACTTTTGACAAAGCAAGCATATATGCTTTTCTAGGGATTAATCTCATTCCTAGCAAGTAGCAATGTACCGCGCATAGAAAATAGACTGCAACAGAGTTAAACATATCAACAGTGTTTTTATTACATGTAACGGCAGCAGTATATACACATGGGCCAACTGCACCACATATCTTAGACCTATAGATAACAGCCTGTCAAAATAATGGGAGTTGGCGTGACACGTGACACTACTGTCAAATACTGCAGAAGCACCCACTGTGGACAATCACCCACTATTATTATTTTAAAAACTCAGGAATACTGCAGATAGACCGATCTCACCAGCAGGGCTGGGCAGTACTGCGATACAAATGTATTGCAAGAGTACCTTGTTCGCGCTGTTTGACCCCTAAACATGCTTCACCAACTAGCCCAAATTTCAACAGTATGCCCTCCCCACGTAGCACCGTTCAGGAACAAATGTATTTTTATAAGTGTCTGTATCTGTATTCCAGAATACTTTTTCAATGTTTTTCAGAGGTGTCTCAGGGTCATCCCGTTGCATAAGACAGATATATAGCATCTGTATTTTAGGCCTTAAAATACATATATCTCAGTATTTGTATTCCTGAATATTCTCTGGAGTATCTATGCCCCGCCCTGCTCACCAACCAGTTTGACTGCACCACCGGTATCACAATGCATCAAGAAAACTTTTGTCTTTCTGCACGTGCAAAAGTATTTAACAGGTTGTTACTCTGAGGTAGGTTTATGTCGGGTTTAAACATTTTCAAGAAAGGCAGGACAGCATCGAAGATGTTCGTCAATTTGGCAAGCTTGGAACTGCATGTCGCAAAGAAAACATACAAACGGTAAAGGAGCTTTGGCCAAGGATCGTCTACTCACAGTATGAATGTTAGCGGAGGAAGTGGGCATTCAAGCATGAAATTGTCCGTTTTATTTAGACCTGGGATCTGTGTGATTGTGCTTCCCAACATTCAACACCGTGTGACAAGGGAGCTGGATGTACTCCCGAAAAAGGACTTCGCTTAGATTTTCCAGGTACTGTTTATTTCCTGTCTACAAAAAACAAACGCTCGATTTTTCTTTTCTGCAGGAAGTATCGCTTTGTGGCATACCGGCAATTCACCCGCTGGATGTGGGGTCGCCTGGGCGCTGGAAACCGGCGAGTTTTGCCAGCATGTGCTGTTCATAAAATAAGAAAAACATTTCCCTCCCAGAGGTACACTGGCTTCCGGTACCCCTCTCTGGACTCCGCACCAGTGGATAGTTGAGGTTGGTTCACTTCTTGTGTCGGTGGTCTCTTGTGCAGTAGATCCTTCTGAAACCACAAGTATCAAAGTAGTAACAGCTAACATTAGCTGTAGTTAATTGCACCCCTGTAAATCAGCAGAGCTTGTTATTCTTTGATTCAGCCCCACAAATAACTGTGTATAAACTTTAATAAACATTTGACTGCATTTTGAACTTTTTTCAAACTGGGCAAACAACTTAATACCAGTGCCACAGAGAGATATAAGTATTGATAGAAATAGTGTGCTTTTTAGTATGTAATTTAAAAAAAAAAAAAGCTAAACTAAGCGGACTGGATGCTGTGAATGTTTATACATGTATTGCGAGATATCAAGCCATTTTTAAGAATTAGTGATATGGTCAGATGAAGTCCTGAAACGCTTCTAAGATTTATGTAATGTATGAGATGTAACAGCCTGTGTACACTGCACTGTCTCTGAGTGAGGAGTTTTATTTCTAGAAAACCCATCTCCAGATAAGCCAAGATAAACACGGAAATTTGCTTATCAGATGGGCTTTAAGCCGTGCAGTGTGAATGCCTGTATAGTGGACTCTACTCCATAGTATGACCAAATTCAGTATTAGAGATTTTGAAAACAATCATACTCCCACAATCCTTGCAGTTACAGGAAAGATTGGCCTAGGTTCAGTTTCTGGGCTTGGCTGTTCGAAAAAAATTTAAAAGTCCATAAGGATGCTATATTTTTCAAATTTTAAGGGGTGCAATGTGATACAATTATTGCTGTTTGTACCTAGTTATTGTCTTTTAATCCTCACATTTTGTCCCTTCTGAGAGATGTATTGGCATGAAGTTGCCAAAAGTGTGATTGCACATGAAAATCTTGCCAACTTTAAAGGGACACTGACCTGGCGTTTATGCTCGCCAAGGTTTTTATTTGTACATGACATATGAGAGCACAACTACCCAGAACACAATTTGCTGCCCGAAGTTCATTTTCTTTTAGCCCGAAAACCGCCAATCAAGAGCTGGCCGGTTTCAGTCGCGCTTACTCTCTTCTCCAAGGTCACGTGCCGTTTTTGGTTGGTTTCGACACAACCACTAAATATAATCAACGTCGTGGGCCATTGAAGGCAAACACTCAATATTAAAATTAAAATTAAATATCATACCAATTTTTTGTGGCTTTTAAAAAGCCGGAAATATGTCGATTGAAGACAAAAAAGGTTGCACAGCCATGTGGCTTCCCCCCGCTGTCTCCTTCTCTATATTTCTTCTTCCTCCCCAGTCCAGTTTTCGTTTCAGTTTCGAGCAGTTGCTGTTGAAAACAACAATGGACACCACTGGCATGAGACATTTAGTCTGGGGTGAGAAGAAGGGGGGGACGGGGAATCTCGACCGTGAGAGAACGGGCAGTCGAATAGACCGTTTAACACAAGCCGATGGTGCTGCGATTCTTTCTCGACCTCAATGTCATCAACGAATACCTAGCGAAAGAGCGCCTCAAAGCGCAACAGTTGCGTTTTCTTACTTTGTTAAAAAATATATGTGACACTGTTGCAAAATATTGATTTGGTGGTCTTTTGACACCATAATGAATCGCCTGGCAAAACACTAAAAAAACTTTTTTGGGTGTGTCAGTGTCCCTTTAAGGATTTATGTCCCAAAAAGCCAGGTGAGCTGGCATACCCCTAATCCTCATGCTAAATAATTAGCTGCAAGGTATCTGTATGGAGCATTCACCTCATGAGTGTCCTGGCGCCCCCCGGCTGAAGCGCGACATTCTCTGCGCCACCAGCTGCTCTTTGGGGAGCCTTGGGTACAGCGCCGCCATGGGGAGGACTTCTTCCTGACGGGTCTTTTCCAGTGCCTCCTTGAAGGAGGACGACTCGTTGCAGGAAGCGACAACTTCGTGGAGAAGTGCGCCGACGTACGCTGTAATAATTGAGAGCATAGGGGAAGCTTTACACAATAAAAAAATTTAAACCAAACAAGTGGCTACTGGTAACATTTGCAGTTATCTCAGAAAAGCCCAGTGCAACACACTTGTTTATGTCATACCGTAGGTAGGCTTGGTTTTCTCCTTCTTGACGGTCTCAATCCCCTTCTTTGCCCTCTGCATTCTCCTCTTCCACTTGAGACGTCTTGTGAGGGCTTGGCTTCTTGTGGAGTTCTCATTATGATGGAGGTCAGCCAGCCTGGTTCTGAAGCAGAAATGTTGTCCACCGTCAAAAGAATTGTTGGGAAGTGTTAACAAAAAACAGTGGCGTAGCCAGAGACTTTTTTTGGGGGGGAAGGGAGGAAGGGGGGGCTAAGGGGTGGAGCTCTTGGGGGGGGCTAGGGGGTGGAGCTCTTGGCGTGTGGGGGTGCCGAGGGCATGGAAACATTTTTTTGCGCTGGACATGCAAAATGGCGCCTTGAGCATAGGATAGGAGTGGAACCACACTCCGGAGGCAGGGGGAAGGGGAAGGGTTGGAGGGCTGTAGGCTGGGCTGAAACACGATAGGCCCGCTTCCTGGCTGCGCACCTGACACAAAGCTAGACTGGGTTCTTTCAGGTGTGCCAGCTTTATTGACAAAAGACAAACCTGGCAAGCATCATGCCGGGCTTGAATGCAACAGACTTGGGGGCAAATCTTGTCAGAGTACTGTGATAAGACTCGAGGTTGTAGGTCTGGCCCGCGGGTGAGACGTGCTCGAGGTCCCTGAGCAGCAATCGTTGTGTCGTGATTGCTGCAAAACGCTTGTATGCTGGGGTACCTGAAGTAAAAATTGCTCACTGTAGAGGTTCTTTCTACTTACCCTCCCCACAATATACATATGCACTCATACCAGACAAAGAAGTGAGTGAAGCTAAGTTATTGAAATGGTTATCTACTGACCTGGAGAGAGCCACTCCCTCTCTCCAATGAGAGGTTCATGGAGGCAGCGGTTGTAGATCCCTCCGTGGCCAGTATGCACATCCGAGGCATGATTGTTGATGCCTGCAGTTTCATAAAGTTTCTGCTGTCACCCTCCAGTTTACATGACTACCGAATACCAGTTTTATATTGAAGAATTGCTTTCTGATCAGGCGAAGTTTGAGGAGCTAGTTTGTATAGCTGGCCTCTGCTGATTTTGTCATGTTGGCTTCCTTTTTGCATTCACATTTGTTCTATAATATAATATTTTTATACAAAATTGTGTGATTTTGGCATTGGGCGTGAACTTCAGTCAAAAGTTATATACGGCTATAAAAGTTCAGCTGAACTAGGTAAAATAGAATATAGAGAGAAAAAGGGACAGACATACCACTGGGACGGTCAACTACAGCTTGTTATATACGGCTTGTGTCCTACATCCTTCTACATGTACTAGTGTATTCCTCCAATAGGTTGTTCTGAAACATCATCCCTCAATGTTCTTTTTTAATATTATAAGGAAATGCAAGGGTAGTGTGCTGATTTGTTTTTGAAATTACAAATGTTAGATGCAAATGCACTACTGCATGATATACCACGGAAATGTGTGTAATACGAGGAATTTTTTTTATGTTTTTGCATGTGAATTGTGTCTTGTATTATATAAAGATTCAAAAAATTTTCAGCATTCATGAGGTCAGTTAAAACACTGTCTCTCGTAGTTTCGGTTCCCAAGTAACCAAAATCATTATCACGCTTTTGTTAGCTGTTGTACCATCACCCGACCACTTAATCAACCAAAGTCGCCACTGTCGATCGCCTGGCTGCTATCAAAATCTCGCCAAGCACCTCATTGGGACCATTGCAGAGGTGATACACGGCGAAACAAGTGACTTTAGTTTAGAAGACAGTTGGCAGCAGCATGGCAAAAGTTGGCTGTAAATGAGGGAAGGATACAAGGGTGGAGGCAACAGACAGAACCCCTTTCTGCATGCAACAGCACAAGAGGTGTCAGGTGTCCAAAGAACGAAGCACTTTCTGGGGTGAAAGTAGACATGGCACACTTTGTGAAAAAATAATGTACTTTGCATCCTGGTATAAACAATTGATTTACTAGGGGCAGAGGCAATGGAACGAGTAATACAGAAAGGCATCCCACAATAGTAAAGGACTTCAAAGCAAACAAGCATTGGCTTTTGCACTTCATTTTTCGGAGTCGCATTAAATGTGGGTTAATCTTTTTTTAATATTATTTTCTGTCGGTTTGCAAATAGTGATCTGTATTATATGAAGTTTTTAGTGTATGCAGGTTTCTACAGTAGTGTCAAATGTGACCCTGGACCCACACTTTCTCCAGGTAGACTGCTATGACTTGCTGCGATTATTTCCCAGAATACACGACAGATACCTCTTCAAGTAGAGTAAAAGCAGTCCCTGATCTGATTCACAACTCTCACCGTGCCTGCGGTAAGGGAACGCACAAATCACCTTTATATGTGATGGCTGCAGCCAGCCGTGGAGTAGCTACTGGCCTGGCAGATGCACATTAGTGATTTTTACAGCTTCGCTGGGATGATTTGTTTATACAAGCATTTTTTATCTGTAACCCACTCCCTCACATAATGCTTTGGCACTGCTGGGTGTATTAGAAATAAACAAAATATAGTTTTGGAAAATGTTTCTCACTTTTCCACATGTCGACGAGGAGTTTGCCATCTCCTTCGCTGTTGGCCGCACACCAGTAGACATGGTTGGAGGCAGGCTGTGCCCATTGCACCAAGGCACCACACCCTGCATACTTGCTCGCCGCCAGCATCTTTTTGCTTACGCCTGTGCAGAAAGGAACTAGTCAGTACATAGAGCTGTTAATGTCGACTTCATGACAGACTGGTATGATGCTGCAAAGGACATGGAGAATAATGATTAAAGTTTAGCACCTTTTGCTATGTGCCAAGCATCGAAGTAGTGAAGGATCTCGGGCTCCTTCGTCTTCATGTGGCCCTTGATGGCGACGTGACGGTCGGTCACCAAGTCTTCAATGGTGATGCCCTGCCGCTTGAGGAAATCTATGCCCTTGACACAGCCATACAACTCCATGGAGTTGCTGGTCTTGACCTCAGGAGCCTGTAATTGTAAAAAGAATGGTTGCACAATAATAGCATGTTGCATATTATGTTATTTAGACATTCTCAAATCCAAACCATGACAAAAAAAGATTGGGGTAAAAAAAAAAAAGCAAAATTGGTCAGCTTATATAAAATGGTTGCATATAAAACATCTAAACCTGTTGCCATCTGATATTAAAACGATGGAGGTGGGGACTACCCAGATAGTATAAAGGACAACATACCATAATTACTCGAGTAATAGCTGCACTATTTATGAACAAGGCCCTTGCATCTACTTTACTGCAAAACATATATAGGCCAATCATTGCGTTGTGCATAAATAACATAGTGAATAACTAGATCGAGAGCACGATTCTCCATACAAATGCAATCTTCACAGATGGTATCTTTGCGCAAAGACGTTATCTCTGTCCTGTAAACTGCTGGAATCGTGCTGTCGATCTCAATGATAGGCAAGCCGCGTGCTCCACAGAAAAGCGAACCCTCAGGTTTTCTTCATAAGCAGTGCGGCTATTACTTGAGTAAATACAGTATGCAGGTAGAAAACAATTAATGCCGAGTTACTAAATGATTAAGCAGCAACTTATTAAGTTATGAGCAATTTTATTGAAAGGAAGGTGTGAGTGGCATTGCACACGAGTTATTGGCCACACATGAGTCAGGAAACTGAATGGCTACATGGTCAAACTGCCCCTAACAATTTATTTCAATTTCTTTTTAGGTTCAATAAACAGTCACCTTGCACAGTCCCCTTAACTTTACTAGAAGGACGAAAAAGCCTCCCTGAAAGCATGAAATACTTGCCTCTCCTAGGCAGACCTGTACGAAGTAGACGACTCGGTTGGTGTCCATCTCCATGAACGTGTACGTCATGTACTTAGCGGAGAAGCCCGGCGAATCGAACCTCCCGTCTCCAGCCAAGTGAACTTTCTTTCCCCGCCTCTCTTCAAGAAGCCTCTTTTGCTCTCGATTCCACACCTGCAAAAAAAAAAAAGTTAAGAAATAATAATAATTACATTTTTAGGAAACATTTCTTTAATATTTGTCCAAACTGATAAATTTTTCGTTGTTAACAAATTACGAGTGGGCAGCTACACTTGTAGCGGAATTACCTTTGTCTTTCACATGCAGTGCCACATACTATATAGAATAGATTGTCATCTCGAGCAGTGAATGCTGTCCGTCTGTCCTTCTTTGTGCTTTGTCCAGCAGGCACAAGTGGTGATGCAAGAACAAGTTGTTGCATCACCACTTGTGCTACCACATGCCAACTCAAATGCAAAGTATGAAAACAAACTTCTAATTTTTTTAGTGGATGCTGTCTAAGCATATTGTTGGTGGTACCCATCGCCTGCTGGACTTAAGAGGCAAGGTCGCACATTAATAAAAGCTATGGGAGTATGCGGCTCCAAAGTTGCACTTAGAGAAACATGGCCCTTGGCAGACAGTAAGTGAGCTGAGACACTCACTCGTTCAATTGCAGGCTGTACGATCGCTGTCTGGTAAAGAAAGTATGTCCGTTCTGCAATAGCCTGGATGTTGATAAGTTCCAGGAGCCTCAGCACCTTGTAAGGGCTGGAACCAGTGGCCACAATAGCTGTGGACAGGAGGACGTTGCAAGCAGCCTTGTTCTTGATGAGTGGCTGACTCAGCCAAGTCCTCGTATGCTTGTCGCGACACACAGCCTTCACCTTGATCATTGTGCCTTGGGTCCAGGTTTGAAGTGTGCATGTTGCATGGCATGTAATGCACTGCCGGAACAGCTGCAGGAGGCAACTTTGAAACACAATGTATTTCTTCTCCTCGTGCGGGGGGGGGGGGGGGGGGGGGGGGGCGATGGGGCTGAGTCGCTGCACAAAGTATATTCCCAGGGTCAGTCACAACACCTAAATCAATGATGTGATTGCTGTGCCATTTGTGCCAAACTGCGCCAAAGGGCTTATTCTGCTACATTTTACCAAAATGTAAGGAATTTGCACCAACATTGTGCCACAACTTCATTTCACTTTAATACTGAGAAGTGAATAGCTCAGGGCTCTCCACCAGGCCGGATCATTATGATATGCTTGTGCGGGTTTTCAGAACTTTCGATAATCGTCTCAAATAACGTACTACTCCATTTGATTTCACGTCAATCATTGAATGTACTCGGAAGTTTCGCAATAATTCTTATTTTTGTGGTCTGCTCTGGCGAGTTAGTTCGTTGAGTGCGCTTCTCATTGCACACTGATGTACTGCAGTAAAGCGACAGCGACAAAGTAGTCATTGCGATTTTGCATGTCTTGCTTTGCCGCAGTGCACCCGTGTGGTCAGGTTAAAGCACTCCTCCAGAGCGAGACGTGGCAGAATTTCAGAATAAAACTTGGGCTTGTATTCACTGGATGCCATATTTGAGTGGGCGATTTATAGCGCATTCTCAGAACGAGCTCACATTAATAGGCTGCTCCGACCGGCAATCTTGATGGTTTGTAATCTATGTTGCAAAAACACTGCTTATGCATGCCATCAGCATGTGCTCAGCAGTCATGCGCACAGGTATGGCCTCCAGTGAATACTCCCATACGATAGACTGCGATATCCTGGCACTATATTTTTTCAATTCGAGATTTCGCAAGGATACTTTGGTATTGCAAGAAGATTTATATGGACTTTTCTGTAATTTTATTTTATATGCTTTGTTTTTCATCTGCATTCAGAATCAATTTTCTGGCAACCTCTAGAACTAAAAAAAACAAACAAGAAACATAAATTTACATGAAAAAATCATTCCCCGGGGAAGGGGAACAAAGGAAAAACACAAATCTCCAAACACATCTAGGTGACTGGTGTGCGGCCGAAAAAATCCGCCCGGTCCTGGTATCGAACCAGGGACCTCTCCATTTCCAGTGGAGCGCTCTACCAACTGAGCTAACCAGGAGTTGGACGTCTGTAGACCAAAGAGAGCTACTACCAGTTTAACACCAACAAGGGTGAACGGCCAAAATAACCATTCACGGCTGTATGTGCTGTCTTTCATCAATCATCTCGCTTTTACTGTGTCTGGTGCTTCTACACGCAAGTAAATAGCTAGTTCTGTGTTTAAGGGAATCGCTCCTGCTGTGCCATCGATGCTAACAAAAGGTTACACGTAAGTGACAAGGCAAAGTAAACATTGCCTCTTAGTTGCACAGGCCAACACATTAATCTTAACGTAATATTTGCAGTTAAATGAATGAAAATAAAGTGTACGCTTATGCTACCAAAGCTCTCTTTGCCGCTCCAAGAGCTGCTCCAAACTGAATCGGACCAGTTGCATCACTGCTAAATGAACTAACAGGCCACTTTTTACACCCTCATAACCCTTTCTCCTATATGTGAAGGATCACAGACATGGTACTTGACCTTGAGACCTATTAACATGTATACTGGGGGTTTCAGTGAAAGCCTTAAAAATTCCTAAGGATAGGGTAATTGAAAAACAAATGAACTCTTTTCAAAAACCAAATGTTAGGAATTGCAAAAATATATAAAAATTAGCTATGTAACTAAAAGTTGTAACTTTATAATTAGCAGTTTCTAGGTCTATGTTGCAATTAGAATTTTAAAGGCTATCACCATGGAAGGCTAAAGCAATTTATGGAAAGTAAAAAAAAGTAACTGGCTTGGAGATATTAGCCGACAAACTTTGCTCTGTAATAGGTATGATAAGACATGCACGCAATGATATCGAATTTCAGAAATCATACCAATTACAGTGCCGAGTTCATCGGCGAATATCATCAAGCCGGTGTCTTCTTTTTACTTTCTGTAAATTGCTTTAGCCTTCCATGATGGTAACCTTCAAAATTATAATTGCAACATGAACCTGAAAACTGCTCATTACAAAGTAGATTAGCACATTTCAGTTACTTAGATAGGTAATTTTTATATATTTTGTGATTCCCAAAGTCTCTCGCGGCTCATATTTGGTTTTCGAAAAGAGT